ATAATATAATATAATATAATATAATATAATATAATATAATATAATATAATATAATATAATATAATACAGAGAGATTCATGCCATATACTGAGTTGTAACATGCCATTTGGGTGATGGTGACTGCGTGCAAAAGGAATAAAAATACTTGAATAAGGCAATGCACAGATTTTGCAGTTACCTACACATTTGTGTCCTTGCATGCCTGCTTTAACTTCTTTCTTGTCCTCCCACTCCTTTTCATTTCATCTCGAGGCCTAGAAATTGGGGATCTGACATTCTCAAGATGCCCGATGCCACGCAACCCAGCTGCAGGGGAATGATTGCACTGGTGTAAAAACTGTGCAAGGTATTCGAGTGAGGCAGGATGTTTCCCAGGCTAGTTGGTGGAATTGTCCTTGGAGAATATTTAATCTAAGACAGACGTGGCCCTGCTTTTAGTGGAAGGCGACTGAGAAGGGCAATGCCTCATATTGATTGACTGATTACGGGCCATCAAGTCATTTTTGACTCCTAGTGACCACCCAGATGGATTTTTGCCATAACCGAACCTGGTCCCTAACCTGGTCCTTCAGCTCTTCCAATGGTGCCCTCATCACCACTGCAACTGAGTCCATCCACCTTGCTGCTGGTCGTCCTCTTCCTCTCTTTCCTTCCCCCTTTCCCAGCATCAGAGCCTTCTCCAGAGAGCTGGGTCTTGGCATAATGTGTCCGAAGTAGGATAATTCAATCCTGGTCATTTGTGCCTTGAGTGAGAACTCTGGGTTGATTTCTTTGATGATCCATCAGTCTGTTTTTCTTGGCTGTCCATAGTCTTCTCAGAAGTCTTCTCCAACACCAAAGCTCAAAGACATCATTACTCTTCCTCTCCTGCTTCTTCAAAGTCCAATTTTGGCTTCCTTAGAGCGTCACAGGGAATACCATGGCTTTCATGATTCTGATCTCTGTAGATATAGACACATGACAGCATTTGGACATCTTTTCCAAGACCTTCCTGGCTGCTCTGCCAAGTGCTCATCTGTGGCATATTTCTTGACCGCTGGTTCCTTTACTGTTGATGGTGGATGATGGTTGATGGATATAATACTGCAAAGAATTGGATTAAAATTGATGTCTGCATGGCCAGCATCAAGGAGGCTTTGCAGCTGCCAAATTGTCCTATATTTAACCACTGAAATTATAATATAGAATTGAGTTACATTTGGATCCAACCTTTCTTTCTGTTTTATATCCAGAACCCTTTGAGGAAACGGACTGAGAAGCAACCTGGCACTAACTTCTTCAGGGACCTTCCAGAAATGAATCTGGTGCTTGAAGCTGGTTCTCTCTGGTTCTAGTCCAATAACCACTATGGCCTATAGCTCTCACCCTGCACTGGGTAGTTTATGGATTATGGGAATCCAATGGAAAGGTGAAAGAGGAGTTGGCAAACTCCCAGTAGTCTGTTTCCATTATAACAGTCCAGGAGCAAAGATGATTTTCTTTCTCTTGTAGTACGTGCAAGCTGAGAATGACCCAAATGATGCTATTATATTTTTCCTCTCTGCATTCCGGACCTCATGCACTGCATTTAAGTTCAATGAATTAATTATCTTGGCAGGTTGTCTTTAGCCTCCTTCCCCCTCTTTGTAGACGTTGTAGGAGGAGAGCCACGTTAGTCTATGATAGTAAAAAAACCAGGAGGAGTCTGGGAATGTGTTTCCTGACTCACAGATTTGGTTCCAAGGCTGAAGCTAATCTGGAGCTTAGAACTTCTGCCTCTGAATCAAATTTGTGAGTCAGCCAAAACTCCCCCAGGCTCCTCCTGATTCTTTGGCTTCCTTCTTGGTTTCTCAGCTGGGTGTGGTGGGGTGGGGTGGGGAGAAGACATTTATTGCTGAACTGTCAAGAAGGTTGCATTGTCAGCCCTCTCTGGAGAATCTGAATTCTGTGCTCCACATTCAGTGTTTAACCTTTTAGAAATTTGGATGACAACGCTTTGGGGAAGGGGGCCCAAGACCTCAAGGAATCCCACTGGAAGCTTTCTTATGTCTGGGCTCACCTACTGGGCTATGGCATGATTCCTTTAAATCAGGATTTATTGAAAAAGTTACCATGGAGTGTGATATATTATCATCATGGCTAGGTTTATCTGACAGGTTCAGCTCAATCCAAATAAATTACACGGTGATGTATAAACTGGAAGAAGCTGTCAGGGTTTGTTCTGGAAGATTGTTCTACCACCTTCAACACTGGAGAGGAGCTTTGGTCAACCAGCTGCCCTCCATTTGGCTTGGACTTCCAAGCCCATAGTCCCCAGCCACTGACAAGCCCATGATCCTCAGCCACTGGCAAAGAAGAAGAGGCATAGAGAGCCATGGGTGGGGGTGTGGAAACCTGGATTTCATCATTAGAAGGGGGATAAATAGACAAACTCTATGATGTCTTAATATGATGGCCTGGATCTCACTCTATGTTAAGACAAGGGGGGCTCCCACAACCTGGTGTACTGCAACCCAGCCAACCAACCAGCCCACCCCATTTTAGCCCAATCAAAACCAGAAACCCAGTTGTTTCTAGACTGGTTCTACTTTCAAATAACACTTCTGGATAATTTGGAGTTACTTACCTTCATGAGTCCAGCTTGTCTCATATGAAGATGGAAGAGAGAGGGTGAACACCTGAGCTTACACCCCTCTTTCATTGGTTTGCATGGAGTCAGGAGCTTAGAATGTCCTCACAGGTTTTTATTTCATTTTTCTTCTTACACAAGTGTGCAGGAATGTATTGAGAAAGAGTGGAATGAGAGAAAATCCAGCCATCAAAACTCTACAAAGGGGTGTGGGCCAAGATGGCTGCTGATTATCTACCAGGAAGAGTTTTGGACTGTCTGCCACTACATCATCAGCTATTTCTCCCCGCCGCAGCATGTGGATAGTGGCAGAAATCACCATTATCTGGAACTACAGTATATGGAAGAGCTGAAGTAATGGATAAGAAGGATAGCTCAGTAACACAAATTGGGGAAAATTTGCTAAGGGGAAGCCGCACAGGAACATAGAGAGATTGCTGGGAGAATCCCCACAACATGCTTGAGTAAAATAAGAGT